TCAGAAAAATAATTTCATGGATATTTATAATATTTGACATGATTTTCTCCTTCTTCATATACACGAGTTTATATCTCAACAACACAATGATTGTGAATTATCTTGTGAATGTGCCGACACTGTGCATTACAATATCTCTGGACAAATCCAATCAGTATGGAACCTACAGCGGAGCAATCTATAGCAATAACAGGACAGAAGGGTCACCAATTCCAAAGGCAACTCTGTAATTTACACTAGCATAGATTTACAGAACAGGGCTGATACGAGCCTCCGTCTGCGTGTGAGTGGGAGAGGAAGAGACATAAAAAATTCATTAGAAGATGGAAGGAGATGTCACATCGAATATGTAGCCAGCTGCAGTGATGACCACGGGTAGTGAGCTGTGTAAGGTTGTTGAGGTAGCCGTGAACCCGCTCTGTAGACCTGACCCGGGGGGATTCTAAATGACATGACCACAGAGGTCTCATCATAAAGGAGATGCAAAAAAAACGGAAGCGTGATAAATGTCAACAGATATTTGTTTTCCGTGGTTATTTGGTAATTGATCATAAAATGTCTAACAAATATTGGCTTTAGGATTTCTTTATTGATGAAACGTAACAAGCTATATATCCAAGGAGCTATTGTGTTTTGGCTCAGAATTCTGCCAAGAGCTGAAGAATTATTTTTCCTCTCTGCTACTAAGTGTCATTTTCATCCAGAAAAATACATAAAATATGCATTAAACCAAATGCACAGGCACAGATTGCATTAATTAGATTGTGCCAAGAATGGGAAAGGCAATCAGTAATAGAAATGGTATTGGCCAGTATGGTAACTCATAATCTTTTTACATAGAAGAATAGAATCAACTCTGTCATATAGACTAATACAGGACAGTACAACGTAGAAAACGCCACATCCCTGGAAAATATTTGACAGGAAGCTGCTGTAGCTTGACTTTGAATTATACCTCCCTGAAGTCAAATTCAAATGGAAAGGTGATAAAAGGCACTGGAGCAACATACCTGGGTCAGTGTAAAGGAGAGAGCAGGTATGATGAAGTGGTCAAAGCCTATCTTCACAATGCCAGGAATATCCACTCTAGATAACATCCTCCTCATCAAATATTTAAAGACAGGAGGGAAAAAAATAGACTTAAATGCCAGAAGATTCACAAGGGGATTTAAAGACTGGGAGACTGTTACTCATTATCTATCTAAATGTCAGTGAAATGTGAAAGCCTTGCAGTAGGCCTTAAGTACTTCAGACACTACACAAATGTTGCTTTAGGCCTCCTTATTACCCTTTCATTTGATGGGGAAACATGTTGGTCTAGTTGGAGGCAGAATGCATTAAAATGGTGATACTTGAAGATGTTTGCTAATTATTCATGGCAAGAGGTCTTGTTATATACATATATTTTCCTGTGTGTGTGTGTGTGTGTGTGTGTGTGTGTGTGTGTGTGTGTGTGTGTGTATGCTATGTTAGTATTCCACTAAAATAAGGTTGCTCTTCTCTCAGATAAAATGCAATAGAAGGTCACAAAACCAATTGGCTCTGTAACTACGCTGTATCCTAGCAGTGCAGTGCTAGGATATTGTTAGATTTGGGTTAATGTGACAGCGAGTCACCAGCGTCGAATAAACACAGACCGGAGATCTGACAACTGTGGCTTTTCGCTTCCGCCCCAAACGTAATTAAGTCCCCCAATATCTGGTTGTCACCTTGTTGTATCATTACCGTAGCTGGATCATTTCACTGTACTTAGTTATTACTTAGCACCCACTAAATATAGCTTTCCCCAGGCAGCCAGTGTGATAGCACTTAGCAGCAAAGCCAGCTGCGGGTTATTACATCCAAACCACCCCCCACCCACTCTAACCTCACTCAGTCAAGAAGACTTAAATGGATAATGCGCCACTCAGTAAGTTATGTTTTTCCTGAAGATTTGTTCAAACAAGGACATTGAGGAATTGGACGGGAGTTATGATGCTAGTTTATTTTTTCATTCAAGCGGGGACACTACCACGACACTGAGCCTCCCCAGTCAATTAATATAAGCCTTCTAGCTCTCATAAGGCTGCTCAGCCGTTTGAGATGCTTAAGAGGCAGATTTTTGATGAAATCGAGTGGGAAGTGACTGTATTTACTGATTATTTTTAGGGATGCTTGCTTTCTATTACGGGGTGGGCGCATATGCTACGCTTGATTCTCAAATGACATGCCAGTAAAGATGATGACTTGAGGCTCCGAATATTTAATACCAACTTTGGCATGAGTTTATTGAAATGTAAAACTTGAAAGAAACTAACCCCAGAAAACTTTTGACAATTTTCACGTTCTTCTGTATTAAAGTAAAGGCTTGTATGGAGGAAAAATTACACAGTATTGCAAAGTTAACTGTTATAAAAGCAAGTTAATAGAGAATTAGTTACACGTTTACGGGCCCTAAGCATCTTGTCAGGCTAAATAATGTGTATGACAGTACTTTCTGTTACTGTGGATACAGAACATAATTAAAAAATGTACGATAATATCAATATACTGAGCTCAGAACACGATGGTTGCACAAATTATAACCCTAGGTCTATCAAGAGGATCTACAGTATAGACTTGCCTACTGAAAGCTGTAGTAGTGCACAGAAACCTCCATGTACAGTTTTTTCTCTGATTAGGTGGCAAGTTTTTATTTCTTTTTTTTTTTGTTCTGCTGCAAGGTTGGCCATTTTAGTGTGGGGCCTTATGGAGATTGTCTGTTTGAGGAACTGCAGTTTTTGGCACTTCCCTGTTGGCTTCATTTGCCAGTGTTAATTAGCCAATGTTAGCATGCTAACATGGTAACCTAACATGACGTTCCTAACCCCATAACCCTAACCTTAAACCGGGGGAGCATAGCACCCTTTGTCATGTTCCCATTACGTGCCATATAAATCTGGGGAATATAGGAATGACCCCATGGTGAACATGGGGAAACTTGCTCAACATCAGTGTGTTATCACAGTCTTTCATGCGAGCATTAGCATTTAGCTTAATGCAGTGTCCAAATGCAGCCTCACAGATCCACTAGCAGCTACTGGCTGTAGACTTTCAGTCTTGTTAGCAAATGTGACCATAGCCAAAAGTGTCTGAGTTGTGATGACATGATGAAAATTCAGTGTTCTGATCAGATTTGTACTATTCACAGTAATTTACCCATGGCATGCATCTGTTTAATTATTACCTTTTCTTTGCAAACGAAACCGCTTATTCAGCAGAATATAGTCTGAAAACTGTTTGGGACAATTTTATTTTATGTTTATTTTTATATATGTGCTCCTGGTTGCATTTAGAATGACTAAAACTTAATAACTCACACCGCTGCTCTTTCCTGTTTTCAGAGGAACTTTGTTGAGTTTGCAACCGCAAACTTACCTGTAGCTGCTTTTTCTTTTTTAGCATTTGATATTCAGTGTTTACCTTACTCTATTTTTGTCATTTGGGTGTGTTAAAATAACAGAACAAAAAAAACTATGCTGTGCAGGTGCTACAGTATAACTCATAACTCATATAACTCAACATGAACACATTCTCCACAGTCCCATGGTGCATGTGCTATAAGACTTAATTAATACAGAAATAATTGTTCTTTGCTTTTTGTTGCCAGTGGCCTTAATTTCTTGTACAGAAAATACAGTAGCATTACAACATAAATCAATCATAAAGTAAACATAGCTTTCTAGTGTAAAAGAGGTACTGATACTCCATTGTGCCACTACAACTTGCCATTGCAAAGCAGTAATACATTTTATGCTAAGCTAAGCTTACCGACTGCTTGCTGTACAGCTATATTTAATATCAATGTTAGTCTTGGTAAGAAAGCAAATAAGTGTATTTCCCAACATTGAACAGTTCTTTTAAACAAGCACAACGCTGTTTATGTACTTTCAGTATATTGTCTCCATAAAGACGTAATCTAAACCCAATGTAGATGTAGAGGAATGCCTGCTTCATAATGGCTGACCATGTGTATTTGAAATACAGTAGATCAGTGTTAAATACCACCTGAATGTCTCTCTCGATGGTGGGCATATCATTTTAAAGTGACTACCAAATTAGGCCAACTCTGAATAATTCAAATTAATCTTCTTAATCAAATATTATCTTGAAACGCCTCCTAACTTTAAAGAAGAGATTTAAGGGGATTTCATAAGCCATCGCCAATGACTGGTGACCTAATTCAGTTCTCTTTTAAAATCCACTTTACTTGTAGACCTACAGCCAATGTATTTATGGTTGCCTGGTAATTTCATTTTTTTATTAAAGTAAAAGTCGACATATTCAGGCAGTGTAGGAATGTTGTACTATTGTCCTAATTAGCTAATAATGCAACCCATCTCCCAACAATAATTTTACTTAAAGGTGTGTAACATTTAGGAGGATCTGAAGGCAGAAATTGAATATAATATTCATAGGTATGTTTTCTTAAGTGTATAATCACTTGAGAATAATAATCATCACCTTTTTAGAATGTTTTTATCTATAGAGGCAACAGTGCAGCTACAGGGCTCGATGCCACTAAATCCTACACACTGGACCTTTAACTCCTAATCAAGACATCCATAGATTGTACATTAAGTGCTTCACGAAATACTTTTCTTTTGTTTTAATATACCCATAAAATTGGCAGTTACCACTGCTATGGTTGTATTGCTATTTATGGTCACCCAATTAACCTCCAGTAAGTGTTAAATGAACAATCCATCAATTCTCTAGTCACAATTTCATGATTAAACTGAATTGAGTTAACTTCCAGATGTAGATTAACTGTGAAGGTAAATAGCTGATGTATGACCGAGGTGTGATGAGTGCCTCAGACACTGATTTGTGGTCGACGCCAATGCCACCAACATCGAGTAGGACATAAAACTGCTGGTCAGGGCTGAGTGAAACGTATCAAGGTCATTGTGCAGTCAGAGATCGGCAGGGTACAGTAAAGAATTGAACACACTGTACAGACCCATGTACAGTACATCAAATTTTGTTGTAGTTGAAAAAGACTTTTATTCAGTGCCTGGGAGAAACAGTACAGCACAATGTGTTATAAAAATGGATATCCACAGGTTCAGTCAAGACATCAGTAGCACTAAGGCCAAGTTAGTCTGAAATTCAATGCAAGGCTATTGTAACTGTCTCCTTAACATACTGGTTTTTCTGTCCCTGACACCCCTGACAGCAAACACTCCAACAAAGATTAGCAGCAAACTAATCATTTCCAGCTTTCTCACTGATAGGATTTTATTAAGTGGTAAAAGGGAAAATCATCATTTTAGATTCAAAAGGCTCGATTTCAGCTACAAGGAATCTTGCCCTCTGGATGTGGGATTATTCATTACAGTAGTGTCTGTGTCCAACAAGGTCATTTAAATTTAGCGTGAAGTAGAAGCATCTGAATGCACTTCTTGAATGCAAGAAGAAAACACTGTAACATTTCCATATTTGTAGAATAATGCATACAAAAGAAGTGATTCACTATATGAGCTTATTTTGTAAAGCAGTCCTGGTTGTGTAATAAGGCACAGTTTCTGATCAGAAGCTTAATTCGAAAAGAATTAAATGGTCTATGCTGTGTACAATATAAATGAGGGTATTTAGCTTTTTTTTTTCCAAATCTTTTTTTATCCTTACATAACTTCATTTAAAAATAAATATCTATTATCTTCTTTCAATTTAAAATAGTCTTTAAAAGTTTGCTGTACCCCGTCATAACCCACAATTCTAAAATGAAATTGGAAAAAAAAGTGGAAATCATCAATACCTAAATAAAAAAACATAACAGGATGAATATAGCATTATTATAAACAGTTCAAAAGGTAAAACATTGATAATGTCAAAAAAAACAAAAATAAAACAATGGACAAACATGTAATATACAGAATTTTTAAAAAATGGATACAATTTCAGAACGCATTTAGCTTCACCCCTTGGAGAAAATATGTGCCAATGCCCCCGAGAAAAAGGACCAACACCCCCTCCGTTCGACCCATCTCTTTGGCGTTTATGGAGGGGAGGAGCAGACAATGCAGAGTGTCTCTGCCAGGCAAAGAGCCACAGGGCCAGTTCATTGGACGCCACATGTTCACAAGGCGTGTTATCAGGGAATTAAAACTGTGTTTAACTAGGGCCAAAAACAAAAAAAGGAGGACGGACAGGATTTATTTTTTGGAGTGTGATGTGAAGGCGTTCTCGATGCAGAGGACGATGTAGGAGCCGGAGCAGCTACTGGAGGTTTGCTGCAGGAGGTGGCCGCTCTGTAGTGATGATGCCAGACCCGTCACAGCGCGGTCGCCTGCCCGCCATGTTTCGCAGTATTGGTCTGTTTGCCGGTGGCCTTTGTTGGTTGATCCATGCCAGACCATTTTCTCTGGCCTAGAGTAGAGCAAAAACAAGTGCAGAGGTCAGAATATATATATACAGTATGTGCCCACAGATAGAATAACATACAAACTCTAACTGCAAATCAACAAAAGCTCTCTAATGTGAGATTATTGTACAAACACATTCATGCCCAGTTAACAAAGACTCACCATGCGCTGTCCCTGAGGATATCTCTACCATCAAAGGAATAGATTGGTACATTCTCCTTCATTTTGTTCACGTTTTCACCAAAGATAGACTCCCAGCTGTCGAACAAGACTTGGTCCTGCAAGGAAGAGAATATGATTCCTTAAATTTAATTTCTCCTATGCAGGTTTTTCATAAAGTAGCAAGATAATAAAATTTGTTTAGATAGTGAAAACACCGTAGAAAATTTCCAAGAAACCTTTAAAGTAAAAGTAGTGAGGGTCAGTCTATGCAGGCACCTAATGCAGTAAACAGAATCGGCTGTATATCCGTCCCCTTTGTCAATATTGCCACTTCCCCAGCAGTAGTATCTCACCTTGAGGTTCACGATGGGGAAGCTGTCCCTGTCCGACCTGCGGACGATGGTGTAGAGGTCTTGAAGCTTGGAAGACAGGAAAGCTCTGAAGGTCCCCTTCAGGCCAACGGCACGGGCCTGCTGGAAGCACAGGAAGTCTGCCCCGCGAATTCCTCGCATGTTACCAGTTTGAGGGGCGTTCAAGGCGATAATATGTAACTGATGAGAAAGACATAGGTTTTGGTTAAAATAGCTGCCTCTGTTCGAGGTTGTTATAGCTTTTCAAATGATGGTTGAAATCAGGTAAGATATTGTACCCTTATTTTTTATCTTTTGCCCCCACATTTTTGCTAATTTTATTTTGTTTTAAATGAGTTACACTGTCCGGCAATGTGTGACCCTTAGAATTCAATAGGCTTTATTGCCGCGATATTTGACATGTGTTGTCACAGCACAATTACTATAATAATATTAATATTAAATAATTAAATTGACAAAACAATGTCAATACAAAAGAGAAAGTGCTATATTTCATAAAGCTAGACCGCTAAATAGGCTGGGCAACTATATCATCCCATATTAGCTCATTGATTGGCTTATAGACTGTTGATATGTAACAAATAATAAAATACTCACTCCTGATCCTGATGCATGTTCCACGTGGCCACCTGGCTGTGGTATAGGTGGGTTGGGTCGCCGCTGTGGAGTGACAGGATATCTGTTCTCAGTCTGCTGGGTTGATAATAATCTTCCATCTGTCTGGCCTGTGTGTCTCGGGTCTGGGAATCTGGGATCATACTGTGCAGGGTATCTGGGGTCTACCGGTGGGTGTGGTGGAGGCTCAATGGGACGTATGGCAGAACTGCCTTGGGAGTAACGACCAGCTCCGTTGTTATGGGACTGGTCCTGGGACTGGGGGTAAAGGATCACAGGTGGAGGCTGAGCCTCTGCCAGCTCATTCTCCTTTAAATGAAAATGAAGGAGATTAAAACATTATGAAACAATTTAAACAGTCAAAAGGCAAAAATGTGTTTATGCTATTTTGTATTTTTCTTCTGTGGAACTTACCAGATCTCTGAAGAAGGGACTGTACTCTCCAAGCTGAGAAGAGAAAGGAAACTGTTTAGCAAATACTGATATATCAACAAATATGAATGTATTACATTGAATCTAATTACTTTATTTACACATAACTATAGCAATATTCTGATAGTGTTTTACAGTTGAACAATAAATTGTTAAGAGGTAAAGTTATTTAATAATAATAATACTAATAATACTAATAATAGTAATAATTAAATATCTTCAATGTCTTTTTCACACCCAACATGAATACCAATTTTTCTGTGAAAAAACATTATTGGCCTCCTGATGAACTTGATAGGATGTTAGCCATATACTGTCATAATCCAGGGATTTGGCTGAAACAGTGTAAACTTCTTTCTGATGTTTCTTTGCCCTCTAATGGCCAAACAAAAATGATTATAGCAGCAGCTTTAAAGTCTAATTGTATTCAAGCTTTATTGTACAGTCTGTGGTTTAATGGGGACCTTCAAAAACATCCTTATGTATGGTATACTGGCCCTTCATACAGCCCCTCAGTTCATCCTGTCTCAAACTGTCTCTTCAGTAACTCTGCATACAAAAACCTGAAGGGTTAGTCCTGACTCCTGAGCAGACCAGTTAGATAACTTATTTTGAGCATTTCCCTGTACTTTGCATTTTCTCGGGTGAAGAGTAAATTACTGTACCATGACTTGCCGCAGTCCATCGCGTACTCTCAAAAAGAGGTCTGCTTTGTCTATGATGTAGATGAGGCTTCCCTCTGCCTGCCGTCTGGCAGTAGCAATCATTGTGTCATATGATCTCAAAACTGTAACCTGTGGAAAACAAATATATACAGTGTTTGGCTTTTGTTGAACATAAACAGAGTAACTAATAAATTACTGCCAGTTGCTCTTAAAATGGTAAATTCTGATAATCCCTGAATATTTTATCAGGCAAATGTATTGTAGACATAACATGATCAATTCACAACAATTATTTCAGTACCCAGACTGATCATTATCAATAACCTATTGTCAATGCCAGTTTAACAATCACATAGTCGCAGTTATATTAAAATACAGTGGCACTTACCCCAGAGGAGGAACCAGGATTTCCAGGAGGACCAGGAGGACCAGGAGGTCCAGGGACACTGACAGCTTCAAATTAAAACAAAAGCTGGTTAATGATTTGGCTTATGAATGGCTCCAGTGGAGTTTGTCTCCAGCTGTCAACTCCACGCTAGTTGTGAGAGGGAGTATGACTCTTCACTTAGAACATTAGAAGTTGTATTTATTTATTCGGCTATTTATAAGGCTCTAGGATGTACACAGGAGTGTACAGTATAAAAATATCCAGAATATTTCAACATAGAAAAAGCCACTTACGGTTATTGGGCCTATATGCTCCAGGAAATGAGGGAGACCCTGGAGGTCCAGGTGGTCCAGGAGGACCTGGACGTCCATCGTAACCAATCCCTGGCTGCCCTGGTGGCCCCTGGGGTCCAGGAGGGCCCATTACAGAATCACCCTTTGGACCCTAACACAAAAGAGTAAAATCTAAATTACAGAATAAACATTACATTTTGTCTATCATTTATATTTATTAAAAGCTTGTGTGCTTACTAATCTGACAATCTGGGCCGTTAATTCCTATAAAATATACGACAGACATTTTACTCAGAACTCACCGGCAGACCTGGTTTACCAGTTGGGCCTTGTGGGCCTTGTGGTCCTCCAAAACGTGGGTCATAATATCCACCACCACCAGGCTCTCCCTTTTCTCCCTTCCCACCTGTTTCTCCACGCTCTCCCTTCAGTTCATTCTGTTGGAAACAGTTTAACATTATGAAGACGTTTCGTCTTACCAGGAGAGCATACTGATGAAACCGACTGACTGTGGAGTACGGATAAGCTACTTTACCTTGAATGTGTAAATATCAAAATTAGAGGATGTTCCTGGAAAAAAACAAAGGTTTTAGTAATTAAGTACTTATAATTCACTTTAAAACAGTCCTCATCTCAGCAGATATGTATGCAGTAATGGCACAGCATGTATAGTTTATACAAACTAGGATTTACCTGGGATTCCTGGAAGTCCTGGATCACCACGCTCTCCTTTTTCCCCTTTATTTTCTAAAACAAAACATAATTTGTAACATTAGACACAATATCCCACAGGTGCATCTGACCTCGGCACTGTAAAACTGTTAGCACCGTGTGTCACCGGCAGTGATGTCCTGTGTTATAGCAAGTCATTCTTCAAATCTAGAAAGACTTGACAGCTTAATCTCTTGACAATAAAGTGTATATCCCCTTCAGGCTGAGGCAGCTGGATCAAACTGAAATTAAGATAGAACTGTTTATCTCTGCAGACACTTTAAACCCTTTCCAAATCTCTCTTCCTTGACTGGCACGTTTGCTTAACTTCTCCATTCTGATCCCTCTCTATCTTACAGTATTGTGTGTTGGTGAAAATGACAAACTGTGTGTGTGTTGGGGGTCATTACCTGGGTAATTCCTTGAAGTGTCATCATAGCGCTGTAGACAGGGAGAAAAAAAAGCACAATTAAGTCATTCCCAGCGACAACAGAGGAAAAGATTTGTCTGTTTATGCTAAAGTATCAAATTAACAACTGACTCACTAGTTTCCAAACAGCAGAACAAAAGCACCAGATAATGATGACTTAATGTCTTGATGTTAGGTCTCTGTAAATAATTTTATAAGGAGTACGCTCTTGACCTGCTCTATTTGAAGTGTCCTGAGATAACTTCTGTTATGAATTGACGATATACAAATAAAATTGAATTGAATAAATGACTCAAATATGATACAGTTTAGCTCTCAGCCATATCCCAGTGAAAATGACTATGCAAAAATGCTGATTCCCACACCAATCGAGAGTCATATCGCAATATCTGTCAATATAATCACAATATGATTGTTTTTACCATATGGTGAAGCGCTAATAAATGTAAAAAAAAAAAAGTCAATTGTTTGAGATTTGGGACCTCATGTACTCACGTTGAAGCGGTCTAAGGGAATAGCTGGCCCAGGGGGTCCGGGTGGTCCGGGTGGTCCTGGTTGGCCAGGGACTCCCTGATGAAAACACATTTATTCACTCTCTTACTGTTTGTTGTGCAAATGCAGAAGGATTGTGGTGACATTGCAGACATACCATCATTAACATAGATGGACAGTATTTATTTTTGACACAGTGATTGCTAGCACTGATGTACACATTGGTATGTTCTTGATGTTAGAGCATTCTCCTAGCAAACAACAAGTCTGAGAAATGTACAGCTTAGTACACAACAGCAGACATTTGGTAAATTAAACTGCGGTTGTGCTTTTGAAACCCAAGACTGTTAGATCAGTCTATCTAAAGCATTGGTAATGATATAAACACTTACTGGGTAGCCATAGCCAGAACCAACTGCTGTGTCTCCTTTCTCACCCTTGTATCCGTTTACACCAGGGCGACCCTGAAGAGAGAAAGTCGTTGATTAATATTTTCCTACACTGAACAGAAACACTGCTATTTAAATGTAACTACAGCAATGTACAATAGGTCAGCAAAATGTAATGAATGGTACTTAGTATAAACAGAAAAGTATTTATATGTAAATAAACCAACACAAGACAGCAATGAATGGGTACTTACGGGTCTTCCAGGCATTCCAATTTCACCCTTTAATCCAGGAGGCCCATACTGGCCCTACAACAGTAAATCATGACATAAAAGACAGTGTAAGCTGAAGAAAATGCTCCTTTAGTTAAAAACTGTATCGGTACATGAGTGTAGAAAAACACTTACAGAGGGTCCAACAGGTCCAGGAGGTCCTCTGTCTCCCTACAGGCATGGTGAAGGAAAGAGATTTCAGTTTCAACAACATGATAAAGACAACCGTAACAGAGAACACAAAAAGCTTGAATACAGACCATCAGCAGGGCACAACAGACAACAAAGTTAGACATGAAAAGTAGTAATATTTACTACAGAGGTGAGGTGTGTGTCAGTGTGTTTTTATTTGTATTTGATTTATTGCGTGAGAGTGAGAGAGACGAGACAGAAATACATCCAGTCAAATGCACTGAGACTCACCTTCAGACCTGATAGCCCTTCCAGAGACAGGAGACTTCCATCGGGTCCGACTATTAAGCCCGGCTCACCTTTCTCACCCTGAACAGCAGCAACGAGACAACACACTCAATTACAGATGTGTCTTAATGATGAGGAGTGGCTAAATTAACAGCTGAACAAATGCACAACAAAAGACTTTACCTTCACACCGTAGCCTGTAGGACCGGGGTCTCCTCTGTCACCCTTTGGTCCAATAGGGCCCTGCAGGATAAAGACAATAAATATGAGATTTATTAACTAACAAGAGGACAGAGTAACAGTCATTTGGCAACAAGAAGGTCTTTGTTCCTCTAGATCAATTTAAGTCCACATGCTGAGCCAATATATTAATCTCTGTTTAGATATTGAGTGTAGAAATTAGCAGATGAGATGTTGTGGGCTCATTTGAGTAGACGCAGTGCCAATATAACTGTACAGAGCTCAGTTTTGTGGATGCCAGACTTTACTATTATCTGGAGGCATAATGAGAATTTGAAAGAAATTGCGTTTGAATTGATCGGAGTGTAAAAAAAACGGTCTCTTATTTTTGCCTGTGAAGCAGTTTGCTTCCAGGTCGTCGATCAGAGATGTGTTGTGCATGTGAAGAGGTTTTTTACAGTGTTACAAAGCGAGAGCAATACAGGCCTGATAGATCTATATGAATGAAGATTAAAATTAAAGAGACACTCCCTAATTCAAATGTGAACAAAAGACGCACCGCTCACATCAAAACTGAGCATACAGAATTTGAACCTGTAATTAAATGAAAAGGCCAAAAGCAACAATCAATTGATCCCACCAGAAAGTATTGTCTGTGAAGACCAAGCTTGATGTGGCTTATTAATCAACACCATAGAGCTCCACTGTTGTCCAAAATAGTTTTACTCCTGTTTAAGTAACCTTTTTTAAAAGTAAACCATGATTTTAAATCTGAAGTATTTCTCCATAACATTAAATATCCATTACGTAATGTGCAATAATCACAGTTACATTTAAAACACAAAAATGTACTACTTAATCAGATTAGTTTAAATGGGCTTTGACTAAGAATAGACTGGCAACATAAGTAAAGACCCCAACTACTTACAGTTGTAAAGTACCAACAAGCATATTGTGGTTAGTTTTTGTCTTTTCATGAAATAATAATAATAACAAAAAAGTAGGAAGAATATAATATAGAGTAGATATATTATATATATATATACAGTCCATGTACAGCTAAATACACTTTACATTCATGGTGCTAATAAGGGCAAGGTGCATTAATTATATAACACAGGGAGACTTACAGGGAATCCAGCTTGACCAGGTAAACCAGGTCCTCCCTGTACAGGAAAACATAATACATTTTTACATTAAGCTTCATTCACTCATTTGTTTCTACTGGCTTTATAATTACCAAAACTGTTCAAGCAAATCCACACACAACTTATTCTGGTCTGGATTTGTCTGAACTCCTTTTAAAATGTAGTTTGTGAAGTAAGAGCAGCTTTCACTCAGTGTAGATGAACTGTATGCAGCTCTGGTAAAACAGAGGGGTTTGTTGTTATATTTGATGAAAGGTAACAACCCTGTGTTCTCATAAAGTTTGCCACACACAGTCAGCACTGATGTGTCTTTTAAACAGTGTCTCTGTAATTGCCCGAACACACAAAAGGACAAGTTAGAATAGTGCATCTTCTGTCGTTCCAGTGTGAACTTTTTAAAAAGATGGCAAAAAGAGGAGGAAGCCTGATGTGAATACAAAAACTGTACTATACATGTAAAAAAGACACATTATCAGCTACAATCTCAAACACCACGTTGTATTTGTTATTTTGCTGTGTTTTGGTATCGGTATTGCTATGGAAACAAGAATACAAACCTGAGGACCAGCACTGCCAACGGCACCGTCCGACTGTAGTGACATAAAGAGAATGAGGTTAATTGTACACAATTACTCATTAAAACTGCAGATTGCACGTTTTATTACTCACATTGCCAGATGTCTGGTAGATGATTTGTCCTGGTGGGCCGGGTGGGCCGGGTGGACCTGGGTGTCCGGTTCCATCTCGACCTTGGTCACCCTAAAACAACACACACACAGCTATATTATATAAATAACCATCCCACTTAGTAAGACATCAAAGACCAGACCAGAAAAGTAGGATGTATTTTTCTATTGATATTAAATAAAGAATATATAGAAACTACAAAGATATATTAACTAAGTAGAAAGAAATCAGATGGCGTGCATATTGCAGTACAACATTGGATCAGCATCTTACAGACAGTTGCTTTGTAGTGAATATTGTGTATAAATGAACAGATATTCAGGTTAAAAACGATACTGACCCTCTCTCCTTTGTCACCTCTGTCACCCTTTGGTCCCTGTAAAATGAAGAAGAATGAGACAAAAGATACCTGAAAGCACGGTATTTACAATACCTGCTTCATAAAGGTCTGATAAAGGACAAGAGGAACAACCTTCTTATTCACTGAAAGTTGAAAACAATAAAATAACTGCTTGTATTCTGATATATTATTGATTGATAAACCTGATGATAAATTAAAAATATTATAGATTTTTCATAAGCACCTCAACATCTTTTGAAAAGTGGGCAAAATATATAAACTTCATTTGTCACAAAAGGTTATTAAATGCACATGAAAATGAGATATTAATGTTCTTAATTCAAAACTGGTTACACACAATTTCAATTTCATTTCATTTAATGGCTGTATTGACAAAATAATCTTAACGCAAGATCAATTTACTAGCCACAGAACTGCCTCTAACTGTCAGTGGATGGAGTTTGCCCAGTCGTCATCATGTAACCAAAGTGTGGTTAACAACTGAGCCCGTCTCCATGACAACTGAACACATTTCATCCACTAATACAGACGTGACATACAACTGAAAACTCTGGAAAAGGCTAGTAAGTGGACCTTTTTTAATTAAACTATCCAAAGCTAAGTGAACTGTGTTGTAACCTGTTCTGTACTGCTGGGAACAGCAACAGGAGTCAGGATGTACATGATGATTGTACTGTTCCCACAACGCTCTGATTCATCACCCAAGTTTCAAACATCTAAGTATGACATCATCTCTGTAACATTATGACTTCTCATAAGAGGGATCTAGAGGGGAATCCTTCTTTTACCTGAGGTCCAGGGAAGCCATCCAATCCCGGCTGTCCGTCTCTTCCTACAGAGCCTTCATTGCCCTTCTGACCTGGTAGACCAGGGAACCCAGGTTTTCCCTGCAGAGGTACATTGAAGTTACACCAGTGAAGATTTCAATTCAGCGAAAAAACACAAAGAAAGTTTGCTTGCAACTATTATCCAATTAAAAATCAAGACCCAAGTCTGCAGCCACCGCCATCACGTGGTGGTGGACCAAACCTGAGCTGAAACACCAGCGAAAAATGGATTGCTGTGTTGCTACGAGTTTCATACATCCAATCAGGATAAATCTATACTATCCTTTTGTGTGCTTGTATTGTTTCTATTATTCCTGTTTCTGTTTAGAGCACATAGCCCTCCCACCATAGATTTCCCCTCAAGAATCAATTAAGCTGCAGCTTATTTTTCTCAACCCCGACTGTTTATGAACCAAAAAACGTGAAATGACAGCAAAGGATAGTAGCAAGGATAAGTCCACTGTCAATAAACCAAACCTGAATGTTAAATAAACTCATTAAGACGTGGGGGAGGACAAGGGCTAAACACTCGCCGGTTGCCTTAGAGACCTAGCTTCAGTCGCAGGTAACTGTACCTCAGGTTTGTTTGTGTGTTGACACTAATTTCACATGCTCAAAATAAGACCCTTTTAACCAATAATTTGCTTTAAAAGTACAGGTGAGTTGAAAAGGAGGGCAAAAGGACCAGTTTATGATAGATTACTGGAATAATTATGTTACTTACTGGAAGTCCAGGCAAGCCAGGAGGACCCTGAAAGCAAACACAATTGCCTTGATTATCTTCAAGCTCAAGTCTGTCTTCCTCATGCATTTGCAACTTCGTACTAAAAATTATTGGAGCTGTTCCAGTTAAATATTCATGTAAAATATAGACCTGTACAAAATACATTCCTTGTTGTTTTTATTAGAAACACTGACATTTTGTACTCAGATCATCCACAGAATGTATGACAGCAAGGCTGAATATGATTCAGCTTTACCCAAAACAGTTAAAGAAATGTATTAAAAATGTGTACACATGTTTACCTTGTTGTTTTTTTCCAGATATTGCTACCATGAATACTACTTAATGTAGATAACCAGTCACTGTTGTTGTGCCTGTAGCATTTCTTGGTAAATACTGTTAAGTAAGCTACACCAAAGCTCTTATTTTAGCTGCTCTCAAAGCAAGACAAACTGCACTTAAGTGACAGTATGAAACAATCGCCATCTTGCACCTAATGTTTGTGTGGCTTGACCACAATTTCAAGCTGCTGATCAGACCTGGGATCAGAGACTTACTCTGGGTATCTGATCTCATCTGAAGTATTTATTCAATATACAGTACTGACCTGACTTCCTTCTGGTCCTCTGACGCCAGGAAGTCCATTGGAGAAAACTCCACCAGAGCCTTCCATGTCGTCCTTTAAAACACCAACAAAGATATTAGGACAAAGCTCAACTGCAGAGATAACATTTTGTATTTTCTGTTTCTTTTACTGTGAGATTTTTTTCCTACTCTACCAAAAAATAATAGAGAACTTACAAATCCAACACGATAACTTGGTCCAGGAGGCCCGGGAGGTCCAGGTTGCCCAACAGGTCCCATCGGTCCAGGCAGACCAGCCAGTCCAGCCTCTCCTGGTGTTCCTGGTAAACCAGGGTTTCCTTGATTTCCCTGTAGGATGGAATGACAGTAGTACAGAATAAATAAATACCAACCATAAAAAATACAGATAAGGATTTCATATCGAATGAAGTGTATCTAAGCGTGGAAAGGTCGTGTGGATTTTTTAAATTAATTATCAGGAATCTCAAGCATCCTAAACAAAACTACTAATACCTGTGTCATGCAGCATTTAGTTACTAGTAATGAGCACATAATATCACACCCATGCTCATTGTTCTGGGACCAAATTCAGACGTCATCAAATGTTAAACTAAACCATAGCCAGCACTGAGATTAAACTTTAAGTCATGTCTGTAGCTGACAATATTTGACAAACATTTGCATATTGTTAGAAGACACAAATCCCCTTTGATGGCTGATGTGCTAGAGCCCAGTTACCTGCAGATGGGAAGGCTTAGGAAAGTAGGAGGAGGATAAAAAGTGAGGCAGCAGATTGGTGAGAAAAGAAAGGTGGGAGCTTGGCTGGAGAAATGAAAGGGATGAGAAAAGCTTTAGAAATAGTTGGATGAAAGTTGATGTATCATTCTAGTTAACGAATGGGTACCATTACACAGTTGTGGTGTTCCAAGAGTACGCCACCAACTTGGACGTAAATTCATGCACTTTCTTCTCAGGAATACAATATGTCTTATGCATTTGCATTTGGTTGTGGTTTGGAGTGTAGGTCTCACTGTGAAGCTGCTGAAGGTACAATTGGAAAACAAATAATTATAATTTAAAAAAGGTAATAAATCCGCACCTTCTCTCCAACTGCTCCTGGAAGACCGAGCTCGCCTGCATCACCCTAGCGTAACAAAATGAGTAGGACAAAACACGTTAATAGAAATGCCAGGTAGAGTCGAACTGAAACTTAAATCCTCCTTCCGTTTTATGTGAGGTAATGGGTAGTAACCTCTGGGTGGGCGGTTTCCATTAGCAGCAGTTAACCAGCATTGCTAGATGTCGTGCTACTGAATGGAACAACATATGTACATTACGGCCTAGATATTTTGATACAAGCTGTTTTTTTCACCTAGCTATTGTGTTTGTTATGTACAATTAGCAATGTACTGCATCCCTTTATAACATTTAACATTGACTAATACTATAGAGTTGTTAAGTTTGCTTTTACCTCTGAAAGTTAGCAATTGAGACTAACTCGCTTCCACTCAAAAGGGAGCTAGTTAGTTAGCCTATATTGCTCATTTTAGCCCTTATTCCCACTTGCCACACCCACTTACTTTTTGTTTAAAAAAACAAACAAAAAGGCTATATATATATATATACACTTATTTTTTTAACACACGTATCGATCAGAACTAGGTATCGGTATCAGGAAGGAGAAAATAGTATCACTACTGACTGCCTGTGTGGTTGCTGGAATTCAGATGATATTATGTACTATAATAGAGTCCGCCCACGCTTAAATTACAAGCACAAATATTGTCAACAAATATCAAAAATATATCCACTTACTTTTAGCAAAACAAAATTTTAATTTTCAGTACAACTGTAAATTACATCTCAAGTTTACACTATGACCGCTATTGACAGGCACTCTGGCTTCAGTTCTAGAGATCAGATTTTGTTCGTCTTTATAGAGGATTATTTTCACAAGGTCATTACCTTTACTCCATTGAGACCAGGACGTCCTGGGAGGCCATCAGTACCCGGCAAACCAGGCAAGCCCTAGAAGCCAAAAGATTTGGTTCAGATATATAGTAAATATGGATTTGATTAGACTACAGTCATTATAATCACGATTCAGACAGTTTGAGACACATACAGGTTGACCAGGCGCTCCGTCCTTTCCTGGTGGTCCGAATGCCCCAGAACTTGATCCTGTGCCTGCTGTAGAGGGACCAGGAGGACCGGGGGGACCAGGAGGACCAGGTAGGCCAGGAAGTCCCTACAACAACAAAAAAATCTAATCCTTTCACAGATATTTACAGATATCTATGATACTGGTTACAGTCTTAAAACAACAACAAAGGTGATGCCCTCTACTATATTTCAAATTTTGACTCTTCTCACCCGAATAGATTCCAAATCAGGGAAACCGGAGCCTTCCATGTCCACAAAAGTCTGAAATGCATTCAAAATCAGTTTTATTCAACAAATGATTTACAAAGACAGGCAGTCATGGGGATGCAAGTTGGGTACAATACAGCATGTGACTGAGGCCAAGATTAACTCACAGATCTGAGTCCTGGTCCTGGAGGTCCTGGAGGCCCTGGGGGTCCCCTGGGGCCAGGCTGACCCTCTCCACGGTCTCCCTGTATGCAAGCAACTCATTAAGACACTTTTCTATTTTATACCTTCTGTTTTATTTTGTACATTTTTGGTAATGTAACTGAGCATCTAACCTTATCTCCTTTAGGTCCAGCGTCCCCTGGGGTTCCTGGGAAGCCTGGAGGTCCCTCAGGACCCTGTGATGAGGAAACAATAATGTTAGGGCACTAGAGGTTGTCGTGGTGTTAATAGGGTTAAAGTTAAAGTGAGTATTCTTCATAATGTGCAGGAAAAAAGGAACAACTTACAGTTTTTCCATCCTCACCGGGATCACCCTGTGAGATTGAAATAAAGAAATAACTCCTCTGAAACACTACTTTCAATTATAATTCATAATTAAAAAGGATAATAGGAGTTTCATTACAACGTTGCCACTAACAGCACACAACAGAAAAGATGTGCTTCAGTATAACAAAAAAAGAAACTGTGACAAATACAGGAGATCTTGGTTCAACATCTGTTGCAATCAGTGTTTTCATGTAAAGAATGGAACTGTAGTATACTAACTGGCTCTCCATCAGCTCCAGGTGGTCCATGGGGGCCTGGGGCACCTGGTGGTCCAGCTGGCCCTCGGGGTCCGGGGACTCTGGAAGCAACTGAGCCATCACCGCCGACTGCAAACTCAGTTGCGGGCCCTGGAGGGCCGGGGGAACCGGGAGGACCAGAAGGGCCGGGCTCTCCCTTCGTTCCTTGGTAGCCAAAGCCTGCATTACCCTGTTGATAAAGAAGCATCGGTGTTAACGGAGATTGTGATTAAACAAGAGGAATTAAACATGTAAGCTTTTCCATAGCTGTCAGTTTAAGGTGTATCCGTTTTATCTTTTAACTTTACTTACTAAATTAACCCCGATCAATTCCCTTATTTTAACATTGTAGTGTTGAACCACTAGTTTCACTGAGATCATTGCTCTGTTTGTACAAGACATCTCTCACATCAAAGTATGGAACGGGTGATTTCGATGAGGAAGACCAACAGTCCTTCTTTATGGTTGACTAACCAACACGTCTCTGCTGTATAACTTTCCTTCTCTATGAGTCAAATCAAAAAGCCAAAAGTCGGCCAAAAACATTTGATCTCTAACTTACCTTTGCTCCTTTTTCTCCCGGTTCTCCCTGAAAATTAAAAGAAGAAACAAAAGCCAAGTGAGTGCCAACAGCTTCACTGGGAGGGTGGCACCAGTGGAAATCAGATTCTGCTCAATTAAACAGACACAAATGTCTGTTAATAGGAAGAAATCTGTTTTAGTAACACCAGCCTCTATAACTATTTCTAACAGTAATCCAATCAGAATCAGAAATACATTAATAATCCCAGGGGGAAATTACTTTCGTACTCCAGATGTAATAGACATATAATATATTAAGAATATATATAAATATATATATATATATATATATATATATTAAGGTTAAAATCGACCCTAAACATCCTCATAAATATACCTTAAACTAATTGGAATATAAATGAAACTTTTGTTGGTCAATAGAAATAAGTTTGTCCTGGTTTGTGTTTCAACATGTTTATATTAAATACTAATTATAGTTTGTATTTTCCTTTTTTTTTTCTTTGTATCCGTTTTTTTTGTTTTGTTTTTTCTGTTTTCCTGGTCTCATTTATATTTGGACAAGTGTATTAAGTGTATGTTAGTAATTAAAATCAGTGTGAGATCAACCATTAAGTCGTCACTTTAGAGGATTTTTCTTAATTTTTAATCATTGTGATAACATTTGGCCTTCATAAGACAACATAACTACACACACAACTTATACTTAAATGTAGAATATGTAATGAAAATAAAAAAGGCTTGACATTACACTGTATATGCTTTACAGGATTTATTATTTTAATTAGGACTTGCAGCTCCCTCTAGTGTTCTTTGGGGGCATTTTACCAAAGCTCATATCACTGTTGTGACTACCCCTGCTCCTGTCCTTGCTCACGCTTTAACAACTAACTCACTGCCCACTGCAACCTTCAGAAGGCCAAACTAGGTTAAAAAAAAGTTTTCTTGCATCATCAGTGGCAAAGATTACTTCTAATTCGAGTATTCCATCCACTCTCAAATTAGAATATTATAAAAGGTCCAAACCTTCTCTCCACGGGATCCACCCCGTGAACTGGAGCCAAAGCCAGTTTCTCCCTTCGGCCCAATTGGACCCCTGTCTCCTCTCTCTCCTTTATCCCCTCGGTCACCCTTTTCTCCTCTAGCCCCAGCTGCCCCTGAAAACAACGACAAAGGACAGAGTCATTAATACCCTCATGAAAAGACCTTTCAAAAATGATTAATGATTGTATCCCATATCCCAAACAATAAACAGGACATTTCCTGCACCCAAAAGAAGAGTAGAAAAGAGGAAAAGAAAATGACTTTTTGCTTGATGGAGCAAGAATCCCAGTGTGCACGGCTGTAATTTAAAGGCCATGTGAAGGTTCTGAGGTAACTGAATACACCTTCCCACACCTGCATGCACTACCATCCTGAGATTTATGTTCTGGTGTGAGTTGAGTTGCCCTTAAACTCTTCCCACTGAATGTGTCAGTTTCAGTGGAGCTTGTATGAAATGCAAGCCACTTCATCAGTTTTGCAGAAGTCGCCCATCTCCAACACTGCTGACATGCACAGAAACGTACGTCCTCTTCAAAGCTCTTTTTATTAGAGTTTAGCAACGGAAAAATGCTTCCCATGCCTCTGAATGGATACATAAGCACCAAAAAAAACTGATGCCACATGTCTTAGCATTACTAGCCCAAACTAATATGCAATACTAGTCCTGCTCGTCCAATCCTGGGTTTTTTTTAAGCAATACAAATCTACGTGAAGATTTATCAAAATTATTTTTCCTATCCTTTTTCCCATTTTCTCTCGCACTGTGTCTGTTTTCCTCTCTCAATTGAGCTCTTCTAGTTTTCTCTCTTTGGATATATTTTTTGGGGGGATTACAGCCTGAACGGCCCAATTTTCCACCCCCCTGGCTTATAACACGTCCACCACCCTGCATGAATTCAAAAGCAAAAAGTATACAGATTCATGCATTCTTGTGCTTGTGTGCTTTTGAAATCCATGTGAGGTCCTGCATGAGGAGTACACAAGACACCAGGCAGAACGTCAGACCAGAAAACCAAAAGGAAATCAGGAGATTTGGATGCTCGTCTCTGTGTTTTTAACCCCTCTCGACCCACCTGGTGACCCAGGAAGTCCGGGCCTGGACTCCACAGAAACTGAAACGTGCTCTGAGTCGCTTGCTGAACACAACGCAAAAGACAGTGTTAAATGAAGTCTTCAGATTAACACTATTTCAAAGTCACTAACATGGATGCTCTGGGACATGAGGTAAGCTCCTTTGTTTTGGTCCATTCACTTATGATTGCTTTTTCTTGAGTCTGGTAGGGCTACTGTTTTCAGTACGATCAACAAGGGACTTTTTAAGCATTTAAAAACATGTGGTAAGTGTGGTTTATTTAATTGTAATCACTAGTAAAAAGCCACAATTCAGAAAACCTAAAGTTACCTAGATACAGTAGCATCAGAATACTGAATATATTGTGATTTACAGGTGCTTTAACATACACTGATGTACAACCTATGTTCAATCTCAAGCTCTGTAACTGCAAGTAATCATAAAAAGTAATATTTTATCCACTTTGACACCCCCAACAAGATGCTGTGTCTTTGCCTTACAATTGATGCAAGCACTGCACATTCTAAAAATACAGTATAGTAGGTGTGCGCTGACCTTTTTCTAGTCTTCATCCCAGTTTCATAAGTTTTCATGGTGAAAGTCAGTTTTTGAAGATGCAGTGCTAAAGATAGTTTTTGCTATAAGACAAAAACCTTTCTCTGTCATGAACCCCTCCATCCATGATCCATCAGAGACGTACATCTTTGTATTTAGCATTAGTTTTGATGCTTTATTAAAGTTAGGTTCACAGGAAATGTAATATTGTCCATTCAATATGTTTGTAGACTTGTTTAGCAGCAAACAACATTGTGCCTCAAAATATCAAATTTAGGCCTGCTTATTTTTGATATGTGTAATTCATGCCACGACCAACAGATGGTGCCAAAGTACAATTTTTTTTTTTTAAAGCTTATACATAGTGGCTTTGAGGTTGTTCTTTTTACATTACACCAGTTATTAAGTCATCTTTATCCCTGAACATGAATATTTTCTGCTCCTGCAGTGACAATTATTAATCTTAATGTAATTCACACAGAATCACCTACACTGACAGTTCAGTGCTCATCACAACTTCCAACCCTTACACTGCATTCATCTTTATGTCCACTAGATGGAGACATTTGTCAGTGAATCTGTTTGTAGCCAGCTCTAAAGAGCTCAGCCATGCATTCAAGGAATCTGAACTCTGTAGCACCATGCGCCGCCACACGTATTCCAGACCCTTCAGTCAGCATGTGGAAGTACAACATCTATTTTCCATCATTGAAAATAAAATAAAAAATGTATGGAAGACAGGTATATGTGCAAAACAGCAAGGGGCAGATCCAAAAGCATCTGTAATAACAGCTGTGCAGAAAAAAGTACGCTAAACGTTTTGACGGACAAAACTCCGTCAAGTTCAGAAATAATACAGAAACACAACCAATATTCCATCTCAAGTTAGTGTTGATCTCTCTCTGCTAGTACAACAGTCTAACTTAAGGACTGTGAGTGATATTTAACTGTGTCCAGATAAACTCACCTGTTTCTCTTGCAACTGACACCTCCTCCAACCTGGTCAGTGGTGGCTGCTGAATGGGCCGGGAAGATGGAGTGGTAGTCTGCAGAAAAATAACACGCAACAGAGAGATGCATATTTAAAAAGGGCAATGAGTGACATTTACTGGAAGCCGCACTGAGCCTACTCTAGATTTTATGGCTCCGTTTCAACTGGTTTCCCCCCTACATTGAAGAGCCCTGAAAACATTGTTAGAAACATGTCAGTGCATGGGCAGAAAGTCAGGCTTGTTAATGTTAATCCTAAACAATCCTAACAAAAACAATTCATGTTTCTTTTAAAACGTGATTGAGTCAACATGTATACTGTTTTGTTTTTTTTTCTTTTGGCAAATTGTTACTGTTCGCAGTAATTACAGTTTATATGCTAATCGCTGTCAGACATCTCCTGCCTGGGCCCTATTGCAAAACTCCTCCTTATGTGAACATTAAGGCTCTCAGGAAACACGGCCCCAGTTGCAAAATGTCATTACCCAGAGTAACAGCGACACCCAGCGTACAATAACTGAGCTTGTTGACAACACGAATGACGTACACCAACCTTTGTGGGTATCAATTTGTGTGCATTTGTGCATGTGTAAAACATTTTATAGCTGCCACTCTAAAACCCCATGTACCTGCAGCTAACCTTGTAAAACCACATGATCAAATAAAAGGGGCTGAATTTAGAGAAGGACGTGGTGTTTGTGTGTGTACTCCCTCATCAGATTTCTGCTCAACTATTCTTTTCTTCTTGTCTTTTTATAACATGTTTTTACCCTACAGTGTAAATTGTTTTGTGGACAAAGTTAAGACAGGTCAGCCTCCAGTCTGCCATCAATCTCCAATCACTAACAAACACAGCGGGACTGACAGAAGCAACAGGAGTAACTGAAGGTTGGGGGAAGTGGGGTCACTTCTGCTCCCAAACTGCCTTTGGCTTAAAAGGAGAGAGGGGGAGGAAATAATACAAATACACCCCCCCCCCATCTATAGCTCATTCTTCACCGGTGACACACCTCGAATTGTCACCTGTGGAATTCTGGCGAGGAGTGGGATAAAGAATGTAGGGGAGGGGGTAGCTGAAGGAGCAATTGAAGCCAGTGTTGATGATTAACCACCTTCCTCTCTGGGAAACTATTCTCCCCCCCTGTGTTGCACGGCACTGGCTATGCTAAGAATTTGGCAAGACCACTATTGACTCCTCTAAGCTGATATATGTATTAATGTGATAAAGAATACCCTGCTTGTTCACTCCTTCACCTATCCATCATAGCCAGGGCTGACGGGTGGGAGGCTCCGATCTTTAGAACATAGTGTTGATGGATTTGAACCACACAACCCCCTAAATCTAAGAGCAGGTATGCATCTCCCTCGGCAATGAACGTATTCCACCTCTGCAGCAGAAAAAAAGGGTGTTTTTTTTCAGTGCATGCTTCTTTGTGATTGGCCTAAGGATGAAAGAAAACAGTCTGCAACCAACCATGGTTAGACTCTCACTTTATCTGATAATAAAGTGGAATCAGGTTTTGAAAAACACATTTTCCCTTTTCCCCAAACATTGCTGCGTTTTCAATAAGACTTAATTAAATGCAAACATTGCCACTTAGCTTCAGTTAGCTACTTGGTATTTTGAATTACAAAAAGAAAAGGCTCCTTTCCCACCACTTTTGCAAATTGAAGATGCAATCCATTAAAAACAATCCATTAAAAACAGAACCTAATGGAGTCTTAACAGCATTTTCCCAGGACTATAAATGAATAAAGTAATCAAGTAGAGTATTAGGTAATCTCAGTAGAATGTTTTACAAGTGGAACTACAAACCTAAAGAGCAATCTAATAGATTACAAAGTATTTTTAAAGAGACATTTTTCAACCAAATCATACAAAGAAGAAAAATATGTTCACTCAAACTATTCAGTACTAGTTCACTTAACTTAATATTTTAAAGCAATGGTCACCCTTATAATTATGTTAAGACAACTTTTTATTTTTTACAGTGTATGAATACTTTTACAGTATAATGTAGTGCTCTGTCTGCTCTGTACCTGACACGGGGATTTAATTTTAAATGTCAGATGGATATAGATTTATAGATGATAAAAACACACAGTCACAGACTCTGGTCATTTGTTTATAACATCACAAAGATTAGCTTAGATCGACTGATGGGCTCACAGGCTCGTGTCATGATTCAATTTAACTCGGTTCAAATGGATTTTATTGGATTGCACTCTGACATTATGATGTGAAGCGTCCTGGCTGTGTTTACGAGACGCATGAACAATTACGCGCAAGTGACAGGTGTGTTGCAGTGATTCTAATGTGTCTTTTCAGCAGTTAATTAGCAGCATTAATCATGAAGCTGTAAGAGCATTTATACAGACACATTTAATTAGATATTGTTATTGCAAATTCCTCATATTGGCAGTCGCTCCCTCCAACAGGGCGGGTGGCGATGTGCTGGAGAGGAGGTCAGACTATTGAGCTACTCATTTATGTGTATAGACAAATTCATTTTGTAATTAAATGACTTTAAATTTTTAATCCTAATTTTATTCTGGTGCAAGCAGTTGTAACTGAAAGTGTGCATTAGATTATGGAAAGGTTCAAACATCCTGGTTATGTTAATAATTATCTATGACATTTGGCATAACTCCAAAAGGCACAACTACATTCAGTGGATCAGTTTTTATTATATACAAGTCTCTATATGGGTCACTGAGTCACATCTCCTCAGCTTATTGCCCTAAAGTCAAAAGTCCAAGTCAAATCCATAACATTGTTCAAACTAAAGAATTTACTAAAGTTTTAGTTTTTTCCTTCATTAATCTGAGAAAATATAATTTCAATTGATTTTTAGGTCTTTCTTAACATGATGGACATTACAGACAACAACTACGTGGCTGTGAAATATCTGAAACAATCATTTCCATCACATCCAGTTAGAATTATTCTCCTGAAACATTTCCTCTTTGGGCTTCACGCTGTAGGGGACACTGAGAGACTCTCTCTCTGCCATCTATCACCATGAATTCCAGGATGACAAAATGGAAAGTTACACTTATACAACTCTCCCTCTCTAACTTGTCTGTGCCAAGACTTGCCTTAATTGCACTGGTTGGACAATTGTGCAGAGTGTAGGTTTCGACTTTTTCAGAGATCAGATGGAAAAACGTCGGTAGGTAGGAATTAGATGCCAGCTGTTGTCTTTTACGTTACATTGCATATTACGTGACGCTAATAAATGCCTACTGAACAGATGGAAAAGCCCCTTGTAAATGTTGCAGAGCATCAAGGCAGAGTATAAGGCAATAATGATGGAGAGACTTCCGACTTGAGGTACCTGACCCAGCCCTCCCCGTCTCCTTCCCGAACTTTCTTTCCACCTCTGTCAGTTCCTGTACAGGGCTGATTGAGAAACCAGTCGGAATAACAAAACCTTGAGGCGGGGGGGCCTCTGACTTGGATCAGATCGAGTCCAAAGTGACATCTGGTTTTTCTAACTCTCCACTGTAATTGCGAGTGGGAGTGCATGCACGCACAGAGTCGGGGGGGGCAGGGCGGAGGTAGTGCTGCATTTCAGCCTGCGTGTCTATCTTTGAGGGTGGGAAGATGTGAGTGGGTGTCTGTGGAATCTGATTGTGTGTGAGTGTGAGAGAGACAGGAAGCAGAGAGAGGAAGACAGGACGACAAAAGGTGAGGAGATAGAGGGAGTGACAAAAGGAGAGATGGAGGGAAGACACCGAAAGTACATTCAATGATTTGGAGAGCTTACACAGGTCACTGGGAAAAGACAGTGGGGAGCAGAGGGATGAGTACATGGAACAGCGCGGATGTACAGGTGCATCGTGGGTAAGATATTTTATCTGTCAGCCTTCTGCGATATCTGTTAGGTTAGGCCTTCATCCAAGTGATAAGTCTACAGCTACTATCCAGAACACTCACACCTCACCTGACACCAGGTTTAAGCACTTTATGCTGAAGAACTAACATCCATCCAATTCTTCTTGCCGGCCTTACTTTCTATTTGGACAGCTATAAAATAGCAAATAAAACTACAATACATTTTCAACCAAAGATTTTAATATTAACTCCTAAACTTTTGAAAGGCTCGGTTTTAACTCTCCAAGGTCATTTCCTTTCCCGTCTGACAAGAGGAAACTTTCTATGTAAAAAGTCTTTGTCCCCAAATGTATACGACAGAAGCGGCTCAATTTCCAGACATCAACTCAGCAGTTTTTAATCTCTCCAGAGGGATGAGTATTCACTCATTTATACCGAGTAACCTGAGACATCAGTGGTGTATGTAACACTAGGATGACTCAGTTTGCAGAGGCACGGTCTGCTGCTAATAGTTTTTGTCGGCCAGGTATACATGTCTGGCATGATCAGCTGTTCCAATCCTTAAGGAACAAAGCATTTTTCATGAATTCTTCTTCTCACTCCCCTATGCACTCCTGATGTACCATTTTGCATCACACTTGTTTAATTCCAGAGCAATTTCCCATAATGTTTCAATATAATATAAGTTTCCCTTTATTAATCCCATAGGGAACTTCATTCTATGCAAACACAGGGAGAACATGCAAACACCAGACAGAAAGGCCCTGCCCCAGCCAGGATTCAACCCAGGACCTTCTTGCTGTGAGGTGACATTGCTAACCACTGAGCCACTGTACCGCCAATATAATGTATCAAGAATAATAAGGGCAGCACAATAACTGGAAGGAATAGTACCGTTATCAATAACTCATTAAAATGAGGAGAAACAAACGACAACAGCTGATGAATATTGTCAAACCTCTGTAATAGGTTAAAGAGCTCAATAACAAATAGAAGTTACATACCGTCCATCTATGTCTCTCCGCGGGTGGTTTTGGGGGTCTGGTTTCCTCATCACCACTTCCTTCACCTGAAGCCTGAGGAGACCAATCATACATTTTAAATTTAACAAAAAATGTTGTTTGTTTTATTCAGTGCATTGAATCACGTTGTTTTAAGTGTGTGTGTTCTCCTTGTATCGTGTGTGTCATGAACTCTACTTATATTCTTAGAATCTATAAAGGAATTAAGCAATTTATGGCAGTGTTTTATATGCTATTTGTGGTCAGTGTGGTAGTATTATTGGCCTACTTTAGTTGTCTGTATCGTCTTTATTTCTGCAAATGTGTTTTCTAAGCCACCTTCTTTGCCAGCTCTCTCTTGAAACAGATATTTTAATCTCAATGAGCCTTTTACCTTGTTAAATTAAGGTGTAATCTAATACTCTCTAAACTGTCAGTACTCTAAGTCTTAGTGCTTATGTCATTAAGTCAAATGCTGCTATATGTGTTTTATCAGACAATATACAACACCGTAAGTAGGTCTCATACTTCAAAGCTTGTTGGTAATTCAATATGTTGTATGTGTCCTCTATACAGGAAAACAGCTGTGTGTGAGGTTATCATTTGAGATAAAAGACACATCCTGGAATCAGAAACCTGTCATTTCCACATGGTATGTGATTTCCCATCTAATCCAAGCAACATCTAAAAGATCTGATGACAACGAGCGGTAAAATCTTGAACATTATTCTGTCAGTAAGTACGAGGATTTGGTGTTGTCAGCAGGCAGAACAGCTGCAAAGGGCCAATGTTTTACTAAATAACATTAAAGGCTGCTGGTGGGCTGCAGCGAGGCACCTGTGTTTGTTTGTGGGTGGTCAGGGTCAGCAGTGAAACGGCTGCTGACAGAATCTTATCTGTTACAGATTTACTATTGGTAATAAGTGATGCAACATGCTGGAATAAATCGCCATGTCCTGCAGTTATAGCACAACATTTCAGTCACATGTAGTCAGTTATCTTTAAAATGTGATTAGTTGTCACTCACCACATCTGAGTCATCTCCTTCCTCTTCACAGTGCCTCTCAGCAGCACGGGGGTCTCCCACCACCCTCAGCTCACTGATTACCCCCTGTGGTCAAACAAAGACACGTTGTTCTGATGTTTACACACACACATGCACACACAATATGTCTCACTTTCAACATACAAATACAGATGCTGATCTCTGAACTTGCTGTTAAAGGTTTTTGGGTGAATTCCCCCTTTCCGCAAAAATCCGAGGGGCCATTGATGTCTCCGATTTTAGCCCGCGCCTGTGAAGTGCCACTATCTCTGTCCCACGCACACGATCTGACACATGTTCCCACACAGGATACTCACACAGATAGCATGAATGCTATCTGACTGCCTATCAAAGGGCCATTAGCTATTTGAAGTTGGCTCTTTGGGACATATTTATGTCCTGAGAAAAAAGTTTAATGGATTTTTTAAGAGAGCTTTGAAGATAAATAGTGAAGGCTCTTCGGCATTTAAACTCTCTTCTTTACACGGGCTTTTAACAGTTCTACTGATGTCCTTTCTTGTACTCTTTTTTTGTAACTTGTACAATGTTTAGTTGACATGGGATGATCTTTTTCAAATTGCAAATTGCCTTAGATCTTCACAATAAATCGTAGATCCTATGCATGAAAAGGACTAAACTGTGCAGTACATCCTTACTAGTGATGGGTAATGAGAAAAAGAGACATCTGCTAAACAAATCCTATTTCAAAATGGACTGCTTATTTTATAAATACATAGTGTAAATATTTAGATGCAAAAGAAGCTTGCCGAGTCTTGATTTGATTAGAGAAATTAAATTCACAAGACCTCTCTGGCTTAGGGCCATGCTAGGGTCAACAAAAAGCACATGGTCAACAAGTCCTAAAAGAAATAACAGGGTTGGGTTACTTTTTCCAAATAAGCAGTTTATAAAATATAAAATATTTTTTGACAAAATATCCATCCACAAGAAAATACATGGGCTTGTGTCATAAGAAAACAGAAACACTTTAAACACTGTGCCGTAGAGTTACAAAGTGGTTTACAACAAAATAAGCAGCTGTCTTCAAACGCAGCAATAAAAAAGATTCAAACAAGTGTTACAGCTGAGAAAGGGGGGCGAGAGATGAGCTGAGCAAACACTCAAAACTTTACTGCAAGGGCTTGGAGTCAGATTGGAAGACGTGTAAATATTTATTTCTGTTTTATTTAACAATATAATCATTGTTATTAAAAGATACTTGTTAGCTGTGGATGGGACGAATATCCACCTTTTGTTCGGGCTCGTCTGTAAGTTAGTCAAAGGTGCTTTCTCTCTGTATGGCTTCATGGCCTCAATTCAGTATTATTAACAGAACAGGGAGGTTATTCATGTCCATAAGCAGCAAGACTCCATACCTGGCAACACTGAACAGTGAAAACAGCAAAGTAAAGCATCACTGTCAAGTTAAAGAGTAACTCAAATGGAGAAAGACAACAAGGTCATCGGGGAGGTTGTGTATTTCTATCTATTGATAGTAACTGAATCGCTTCCATATAGTGACACAGTAACGTCTCTTCAATAGAGTCCAAAAAGCCATTTTTCCCCCCAGAGTCTAAAGGTGATTAATGAGGACATAAAACACAAACCATACATTACTGATTGCAACAAAGCAATAGAGTGTCTTACAATGCTTTTACAAATGCAGTTTTTTCCTAAATTTTTATATTTTGATTTGTGCAAGAAAAAATATGGACTGTACCTACAGCTCTTGGCCTATCTTTTAAAATAATCAGTTGCACAGAAGCAGGATGAACAATTCTCACTGACAGTACGCCTGCAGTTGCATGTTTTCTCCATGCAGATAGCCATGGGCGAACTACTATAACCCTTTAACAGCAACAAGGTCAACAGTTGTTGCGGTCAACTGCCTGGATTTACAGCAGTCAAATGACTGAAGTTAATTATCCCAACTGTGAGGGCTTCCAATTATTTGCAGACTACTCCCAAGAAGACTACGAGGTGATCTAGACATTTATGTTGTGGTTTAGAGTAGGCCAATTTGAGCAATCAAATCATATGAGACTTATTCAGCCAAGATGTTTCACATGACTTACTATGGGAAACCAAAACACAATACTGCACTTCTCCAAATCTTCCTGCAGTAGGAGTCTCATCACAGTTTTAGAGAGAAGTAGTTGGGGAATGTTAGATGAGCAGCTCTTCTCCAACTCCAACACAATAAATAGTTTGATTTATTCAGTGCAGAGGCTCTTCAAATAATTTCTTCATCTACTGTGAATGCTTTTAAAATAAATACAGTATATCTTTATAAATCGTTCAATTTTCTGATTTATGTGCCTCAATATTGTTTGGTCTGAAACAGACGAGAGTGTGTACGTACCAGAAACTTTTCAGAATCAGCTCCTCCAGCTTGCCCGACAAAGACCCCAGCACCGACCTCCAGCTCCATCTCATCCGGGGATCTCTCAATGCGCATCACCTGAGGGTCTGTATCACAGTTGAGGTAGAACATCACCTTGTCATCCCTCACAGCGATGGCAAAACTAGTCCAGACATCCCTCATGGAGGGCACAAGGAACCTGGCCGCCTCATACGACTGCTGTGAGTCGGGTTCTGTGTAATACAGGATGACATTCTGCTTGCCGCCCTGCACATCTGACAGTTTAACACCCACATACATAATCTTCTGTGAGGCATCTGTGATGGAGAAGATGACACCTCCCTTGTTAGAGGTGGGTTTCAGGTTGAAGATGAGGGAAAAGTCTCGGTAGAATGGGCTTGGCAGGTGGGCACGGGCCAGCTGACCTGTGTTGGCATCGGGGCCAAAAACATATCCAGGACTGAGGTCGGACCCATAGACCCGGGTGATCTCGTTTGGAGGAGGATCCCCAATCAGCTGTAGCAGGGAGACTCCAGTGTCTTCTAGAGGGGGAGAGAAAAAGGATGTGAGGCCACAATGCACATGAAATCTATTGGAGGTTAGAAGGGAGGGCTGCATGGCAAGGTATAATGTTAGACCAGGCTGTATTAGGCTGCTGGGGGTTGACTTAAAGTGAATGGATGCAGGAACAACTGCGGTTACTTGCATAGGTCATCATTCTGCTAGAATAAAACCAAAAATCAACAGCATAATTGGTCAATGATTTTTTTTCTCTATCAAAAGTAATGTAAAAAGCATCAACACAGTTCATAAAATGTTACCACAACTGACTCCAACCAAACTGTAAGCTTTTTTGAGAGGCACTGGTACAGCGACTCTGCTCAGGGGACCATAAATAAATAAACCATTTTTACAACTTCTAGACCGAAATACGGAAAAGATTGCCATCCCCAAAAAAGGCAAGGGATAGGCCCTTTGAGACCAAGAAAAGAAAATCACTTTAGCAGGCATTGCAAGGAAACTTCTACTTCCTAAACTAAACTAAAGGGAGATGTAAAGGCACAGTCTAGGAGATGCAGTCCAAGACGTGTGTTGAGAGATTTAAGGATTATTATTTCATGTAGTGTTACTGAGGTCTGCTCCAAAGTTTCAGGAGAGCTAAAAGCAAGATGAAAACGTGGAGCTGTAGCCACTCGATGGGTTTCCTGCAAAACTCTACTGCAGAAAATCACATCAACAAACCTAAACTATTCAAATGGGAAATTATATGCATTTCAAAACTTTGAAATTGTCTCTACTTTTGACCACTGATCGATCTACTATGCCCAGAATAGTATAACTACGGATATCTATGCATCACATTCCCGAAGACACACAAAAAATGCGAAAAGCTCCACAGGTTCGTGTGACATCTGCTAAATGTCACTGCTGCAGGGCACTCAGGGACCAACAGCTGGGCCTCCTGCATATCTTTGCTCTCTCTCCCATCACCCTGGGTGACTCTGGCGGGGTCAGTGCATAATAATTGGGGCATTTAAGAAATACAACGAGCACAAAGAGCTATGTGTATTCATTCACAGACATGGTAGAGACACTAGCATCACAGTTGAAAATAAACCTTTTTGCTTTGGTCAAAAATAAATGTGTCTTTGCGTTAAAAAGAAAAATAACTGTTTTGGGAGAAGACTTAGTTTGTAGTTTTTGGTGCTTTGAAGAAATGCTTTGGTTTACCACCTGGTGACTAATGTGCAAGCTCTATTGCTCGGTTCAAAGCCTCCCCACTGCCCTGAGTGCTGGAGATCAGTGGTGTCTGCAGTTGGCTTTGTTGAGAGCTTAAACACACGAGGTGTTTAGCTGAACCCAAGGTCCTGCTTTCTGTTGTACAACCATAAACACAAGTCTGAATATTCTGGATATCTGTCTGAGAACTAAAGAGGCTTTCATTAGAGTCTGAGTTAACAGACAACTCAGTCAAGCTGTAACAGGACTGCAATAAAAATACTTTCCAGTATCAATTATGCAGTTCCCCTCTGCACCAATCAGAGAGACAATTCTTAGGAAGTTTTATCACTAAACAGACTCTAATTATAATATGTACTTATTACGTATCTGTTTTAATATGTACTTAATTCAAGATGTGCCAGAAATACCAACCAAATCTGGAAACATTTAGATGAGTGATGCAAATGTAAACTAATTTAAAAGTCTTCTGCTAGATGCCTACATTAGTTAGCTGTACAAATAACATACATAACATGTAGCATGCATAAATCTAAAGCCAGTTCGAAAAGGAGTCAATAGGTGGATAACTGTCTATTAATATCTACATACAAAAGATACTACAAATGTTGCAAAAATCTTGAGACAAACATCCTAGAAGAACTTGAGAGATCCTGAGAGAAACAAGACCTTAAAAAAACAGCTATGTTCTACCTAAATTCCAAGGTTCAGAACATCTTAGGTAGATTGCGCATCCTTCCTTTAAGGATGGCAGTTAACAATAAACCGTCATTTGCACCAGGCCAACCAGATGTTTACTCTGATAATATCAGAATGAGAAACCTCAAGGGTCTCTCTTCAGTGGGCCTGTGCTCGCATGTCTGAACCTGGCTCCCACTTAAGAGCCCGATTTCTACCAGAGTAGGGTTGAAAAAGGCAAAACTTCGGAAAAAACTGTAGTAATTTAGTGGGGAAATCCATCATGTGGGAAGACACAATTTTAATTTGTAATCCTCCTGTTACGTTTGCTCAAGCTGACGTGAGCTATCTTTAAAGCAGAAACACTTCATAACTGAGCATGTATTGCTCTTTTGGTAGTGAAATATAATGAGAATGATTTGGATGACAATGTTTTTATTAGCTCCAACTCACTCTCTTCAATAATTTGCAAAAGTTAGTTTTTAGCTTATTTATATATAGAGATTTTATTTTTAGGCCTTTCTGAGAGCAATGAGAAGAATTTGAAACATGCAATTTGTTCAGCATAAGTAGCAGCTGGTCATAAAAAATATTTGATTTGTGTGAAGATTAAACTTCAAGGTCTATAATAAGTTGGAATGTGAGGCACATCTCTCAAACAGAGCCTGATTGTCTGTCAGCACGCAGCATGTATGACCATCTCTTACTCCCATAATTCAAACATCTGATTTTCTTATGCATCTGCCAAATGAACAGCAGACATCCTCACACGTGCTCTCATGTTCCAAGCTTCCCAAACCCCTCATTAGTGAAACATCTTACCTATTAGTCATCACTCATGCCAACCAGATGTGCACTCTTTTGGACTATGTTCAGAATTTACCAAAAAGAAAAAAACATCCGTGTGAACCAGACGGTGATCAAACACTCAATGCTGTTACTACATTTCTAAAAAAAGTACCATGATGTAATTGTGCCACATTAAGAAAAAAGAAACCTTGCAAATGCAAATAAAGACAATTTCATTGCCGGATGTAAAGCAGATTAAAAGATTTGACCTGCTTTAGGCCTGCAAAGGAATGCTTTTGCTGAAGCCTGTTCAATGTGCCTGCAATGTCAGCAAAGGGCCAACCGGTCATTCCTTCTCAGAGATCAAAAATTGTTGGGTATACAAAAGGTTCACCATTAGCATTTTAAGTGCAATCTCAATTCAGGTTTTCCAAATAGCTTTTGTTAACCAATGACAGCTTCAAGGCCAATTGGGCATAAAAAGGTCTGTTGATGAATGGAGCAGTGCTGGATTTATGGTGCTAGTTTGTCTTGTCGAGAAGGTCGCTTACTGACCAGGAACGCTGCGCTTTTATATTTCCTTACATTCCAGGATGGGGTACCAGAGTTTGTAATACCCTGTTGATAAAGCTATATATACAGTCTGAGACTGTATACACAGCTTTTGGAAGTAAAGGATCATGTATAATCCATGGGAAAACATTTAAACATCTGGACAGTCCCAGAAAACTTTGTTTCTCTGACTATGTTCCATCACCATTTAAAACATCCCTTGAGGCCTGCTGACTAGGACAATGATCTCTCTCTCACACTGCAAAGGAGCTCATCAGTGGTCTGACCTGTGTTTGGAGTGTCAGAGTTCCCCTCTGGAGACATGAAAATTACTATGCAAGCATAAGCTATGTCTGTAAGGCTTGTCAGCCAATTGATTTAAATGTGAAGTCAATTAGGTCATGATATGGTAGCTGTGTTTGCTTTCTGCTTATTTGAACCCTGTTTGATCTTGTGGTTTCATGTCTGGTTAGTTACATGGTTGAAGAAAGTTATTCATTAAGCGTATAATGTCATATCATTACCATTATCATCATTCATGTTCATCTATAGAGGCATATACATGTCTATTGTTTTTTTCTTGTCTGATCTAATGTAATGTCTAATCACAAAACTGAGAACCAAAAATGAACACAGGATGTTTTGAATATCAAGGTATATATCAACGCCATGAATACATTTTACTTTCTGCAAAAGACATTCTGTGAACCTGATGATGCAGAATCCTCGGAAAAAGATATCAAACAAAAAACCACATCATAGACCAGGAAGGATATTTCATGTTGGCTCGCCCTGAAGACTGAGCTGTAATTCGGAAACCACAAAAAGGAAGATTGGTCTACCACAAGCTGTGCACTTCACTCTTTGGGGAAGGAGTAATATGATACTGTTTAAGTTCTCTACCTGTAGGTGACAAACTTTTAAGGCAACATGCAGGGTGTAAACAAACCCTTTGCCACATACTGCTAGCTTCATAGCTTTTTGTAAGCTTGGGAAGAATATAGTATGTATGATATTCACAGAGGCACAGTGGAAAGGCTTCTAAATAGGTTTAGAGCTCATTCATAATGCTGAGACAGTATGGCTCTCCTTTAGAAACAAAACTTTGGGCTATTATCCAGCTCAAGACATCCCTGTGCTCCATCAATGTGTTTTGCCTCATCAGTTCTTGTTTTGTACTAATGCAACACAAACCAGAGGGGGCAATGAGTTTCTGGCAGCAAAGAAGTTGGACTACACTGTGCCCATAATTGGAACCCCCCTGAGAGCCAACTCAAAATGATTCCCTGGCAAGCAGCACGCTGAAGAACTAGTGCCAGCTATGGGCCTTCCTGTCATGAGATACAATATCAATCTCGGCTCACTGGAACCATGGTGCTACAAATCAGTGTCAGACCACCAAAAGGGTGTACACGCCACAACACAGACTAAATGTACACAGACATACAGATACCGACAAAAGAATAGTAATACCTTACCAGGAAAACAAACATTTCATGTTTTTAGACCACCACAAAAGGTGGCCAGGGACATAATTACATTTAACTTCAATTAGACAGCCTAAACTGACAATGACTAATGGAGTTTCCCATACAAGATAGAGTTTTACCGTCAAGAACAAACCAAAATAAACTGGAGTTGACCTCTAGACCCTGATATGAATGACTGCTCATCTTTCAAGCAGGAGACTGGTAACCATGGAAAACATCATTAAAAGGGCTATTGTGCCCTAACAATCCTTTATTACCACAGAGGTAGCCCCCCTGTGGTAAAAAGATCACATCTGACAGATTTCTTACAAAGTTTCCATGCACGCACAGATATCTCTGCAGTCTTCCCACAGTAATACCCCACATGCACACATATTTAAGCTACATATGAATACATGTTAGTGTATACAGTGTTCCATTGTGTTTCTTTCCCCGTGCTGATGGCCCCCTTAAATTTCATCTGAAATACCAACTCAAAAGATGTAGCTAAGTATATCATGAGACATTCTTAAATGACAGGTCATAGTTAAATGATGTAGGAGTGGGGCTCTATTAAGCCCAAATATGAGTGCCCTCCTCCCACACATCAAGCTAAAAGAGCTGCAGATAAACATCTTAAGGTTCCCAGACACTGCATAGTAGGGGTTCTGATCAGTGAATTTCAGCAGTCAAAGGACTCACAAGTGGGTAGAGGTGGTAGGAAACAAAGTTATTGGGCTGATAAACTGGAAAATAAGGCACTTTAAACTTTAGGGCACACATTTTCAGAGCTTTGTAACACATTATCTTGGCCATTTATTTGTGACCTCATTCAGATTGAAGCCAAAACCCACCAATCTGTTAACCACTTCTACCATAAAACCAGTATGACCACTGGCTGCTGTAGTTACTGGCATAGGCACATTAAGCATTTTTTTGTTAACCGAAACCATGTGCGGTTATAATGCTCAATTGGCAACATTTAACTAACTCTGAAGTTTATCAGTCATTTTCAGAATTTAGGGGCAAAGAGACCTCACAGGGTCAATAGTAACTCAATAGCAAATAATTTGTTACATAAAATCTATTCAGCCTTAGGGTTCCATCTCAGCAGTCACTATAAGAAGCAGTATCCATGGGTAGATTTTTAAGAACACTGAGTTTGAATGAGTGATACCAGATGGTCTTCTTGACTACTATGTTTTTCTATCCATGAATGATTTACAGTGATTGAAAACACTTCAGTGATACCTTGAGGCTACTCTAGCAGGCGATACCAAACATGCATGTGTTGGTGGTGAACCAGCTTCTGGAGAGCCTATAAAAACTGTCCTTGGGGTGTAAAGATGGCAACAAAATCATACTTAGGTCTTTGCAACGCCAGGACTGCTAAGTCTAGTGGCCATTACATCTATTTGGAGATTTTCCAAACACAAATATGGAGCAGTAAATCACTTTACTTAACACTTGAATCAAATAATTGAAATGTGGAGCCATGTTGGAAGGGCCTGTAGTTAACACTACACCTGTGTGTCATTTATGAGACATTAACAAATTAATCCTAACCCTTGCCCTAACCTCCCTGATGTAGAAATCAAAACAATTACCTTGCACACCAGCACATATAAAGTTCAAACAATTTAAACAAATACAAATCTATTTGGGCCTGGATGTGTCAACAATCCTGGAACCAGAGACATCCTGTCCACTCATGTCTCTCAATGAAGCAAGCTGTCAGAAAGATAGTGAAGCTGTAAAAGGACAGTCTTGAACTCCCAGTGATATGGACTGAGGGTGGAGGGCAGGACAGTAGCCCACTTCATAATTTGAGGTGCAACTTGCTCACAGAAACAGACTTTCCCATATTAGACTGTTTAATAATTCTGTATCCACTGAGGGCAGATTCTCACATAAATCATCCCTCACTAGTAACCATAAATATCATTTTTTGATCACCAGGGGTAAACACTGTACTTGGTAGTCCTGGATTTTAGGATTATATAAACAACCAATTATTAGTAGTTAACTAGAACTTGTATAACCTTAGTGAAATTTATAAACCTTGTACAACATTGATTTGTTGTTTGAAAGATCCTTTTGAAACAACAAATCAAGTGCTCTGGTATTTGGCATAACATATTCACTGAATCTAAATGCAGTTTGACACAGTTATTAAAAGAACATGAGATCTAAGAGTTCTTTAGCCGCTTAACTGAATTAAACTACCACAACCTAGATTATGCACGTCACTCCAGAATAGATAAAAACAAGAGCCTTGAATGGTGATTCATCTCTTTTACCTTAAAATTTCCACCTGTTAAAATGTTACCTATGTAAAGTGACTAATCTTTCCAGCTGCCATAAATGCTTTCCTAGCACAGTTAATAAATTGACATTCCACTGAAAACCATTGATGCAAACATGACTGCTTCCCATGCATGCCAAGATAATCTGTCCATTTGTGGACAGACAAATGCAAATCAAGCTGCCTGCAAGCCACTTACTCTCAAAAGAGACATGCAATTCTACATGCCAAATTATGTACAGTATGTCATGCACAAATTGTTTGCAGAATACCAGCCTCCGTCTTCTGCACTTTCAAATGTGTTAAGGCTAATAAAAAAATGACAATTTCTTCAGTATTACAAAAACAAAACAAACAAAAAACAACCATGCCTAAGGCTGAAAGGAAATTCTATTAAATTTCTACCCTATTCCTTATAATTATGTAATGAATATTGCTGGAAACAGATAATTTTTATTTATTTTTATGTTTTATGTTTCTGTTACTACAATGCATGCATTTAGGAAGTCTACAGTTCCACTGGAAGCGGGGATTCAATTCAAATTTTATCTTTTGTTTCCTTGACACTTCTTAACACCATAGACTGTATATCAGTGGATGCAATGATTGTATTTCAGGATAGAATAGACAGAATATATATACAACCACAAACTGCACTGAAATGCATGTGTGCATGTAGAGGTGTGTGTGTATGAATGTTATAATGACCTTCAAGGAGTAACATGCGATCCAAGGGACAAGGGAAACACATACATGCAACACTGTAAGTAGTGCTGGCACCATGCTTGTTAGGCTGTAGCCAGAACTTCCTTTTAATAACAGGACTAACAAACTTTAAGCATGCTTATTTTTCTTTATGATTTTGCTGTGCAGAGGAACAAATGCACTGTTAATGCCTTTGACTGTGCTGACAGGGATATATGTCAAGTTTTGGGTGGGTAGTGGGTGGTAACAGCAGACAAACTGGGGGGATATTGAAAACTGGTTCGAAATGAATCCCAAAACAAGGATTTATTTGAACCAGTGTTTACCTTTCTGGTTACTAACTGACAAGCACCGATACCCATCATCCTCCTTGTCTGGTAGAGTGTGGCACTCCACAGGGAGGCGTCCCTCATCCAGGAGTGTCCAGCAACTGTCCCGCAATACTTCGCAGAAACTCCGGCAAGGCAACACCGGCGGCGGAACCAGAGGGCCACACTTTGGTACCAAGAGAAGGCAGAAAAACCACTCCAAACTATGGTGGCAACGTGACCTCAACAGCCATGCCCATTCGTTAAGCAGTACCTGGACTTCCTCTACACTGCTCTGGTTGAGGTAATTGGGTACGACAAACTGTTCCCCAACCATGGAGGAGCAAAAAGGAAGAGCAGTATCTAGCAACAAGCATTGTGGGGTTTCTACGGCTGGTGCTGATTTAGCTTCTTCTGTGTGGCTTTCAGCTGACCACCTACCTACAGCTGTCTGGCTAATTAAGGTTGCTTGGCTAGGCTTTTGCTCACTGACTGATGTTTGACGAGCATGTAAGATGTGACCCATTTGGCTAGTCACTTCTTTCTTGCTAGTTGCTGAAGTTTGACTAAGCACTTGAAATTCTTCAGCTATAGGTATTAATGTAGTGTCTGGCCTCTTTCTAGCTGTTTGTGGTTTGATAATGAACATTTTTTGGGTATTAGTTGGTGCTTGGGTTGTTGTAGAAAGTGCCTGGCTAGCAAATGAAGCTTGTGTAGTATGTAACACTTGGTTAGGTAAAGGTTCCTGTTTAGGTATTGATTCACCAGCTGGTAACTGAGTAACTTCCACAAGTTCCTTAGTTAGCTGGGTAGTTCCTGAGTTGTTGCCTACAATTGGGGTTACTAAATCTAATGGGGTGGAGTTGTCAAAATGAAATTTTAGCTCATTTGTTTGGGATACTACACTACCACTACCTAACCCCCTAACATCAGTGGGCATGACTTCTCCTTGTTGGTTTTTCTCAGAAAAGCCCTGTGTTTCAAAGTCAGATCCTGTTCCAAATCTAGACTCAGAGCCAGACCAAGGACCTGACTCAGTGTCTGATGTCAACTCAGACTCAAGCCCAGATCCAAGTCCTGATACATTTTCCGTAAACCTTAAACTATCAAATCTTCTAGAACCCATAACCTTTAGTGAAGATGTGCCATTACCAGGTCCTGCTGCTAATCCAGATTCAGACTTGAATCCAGAGTCAGACCAAAGACCTGATCCAGTGTCTGATGCCATTTCAGACTCAAGTCCTGATACATTTTCTGTAAACCTTAAATAATCAGATTCTCCAGAACCCATACCCTTTAGTGAAGATGTGCCATTACCAGGTTTACGTTTGCGTGACGAAATCCCTGCTGTTTCCTTTTCTGATGTATGTTCATTCTCTGGTTGTGTTACAGTGGTCAGTCGAGGAGCCTCAGTGGATTCATCCCAAGTCTGCGCAACATTTTGGATCCCATGTCCTTCATCAATTATCTCTGCTCCAACTCTTGCAAGATTCTCTGATGGTTGTTCTCCACTGCCTGCTGGACTGCCAGATCCTTCATTGTCCACTGTTGGGGGCAAAGTTGTAGTACCAGTCCAGGACCAGAACCAAGCATCAGAGTGGACCACCCACAGGGCCAACAAAAGCAAAACTCCAAACTGGGTCCTCATCTTAGACATAATGTCACATCCACCCGCTTGATCAGGCTCCCAGAGTGAACTATGACATGTCCAGACAGCCACTACACTCCTCACACACACACTTCCCTGCTCTGTCTCCACAGACACTCCACTCAGCAGAGAGGAAAAGTGAAGAGGAGTGCCCCATTCAAAAGAGTAAAGGGGGAGAGCAGGAGGAGGTGTGCTCCGTATTGGCTGCCTTGGCAATATTTCCTCTGCTAACTCCTCCTTCCTCCTCCTTCTCCTTTTGTCACAGCAGTGAAAAGTGATCTCTCCTGCTGACTGATACCTTAGAATTACGGCAGCCTTGCCTTTCAGCGTACAATACTGACGCTTTCAGTGTTTTAAAGAGAAGGGCAATTTGTTCCCCTTGACTCGTTCTCTTTGTTCAAACATGATAATAAGAAAACTACAGATCTAGCTTTAAAGAACTGCAAACTACAATACAGTGGGAGCAAAAGTGTTGGTCGTGTGTCTTCCTAAACAAGAAAAATGGAATTCTATTTTGTGGTGAAGGTTTGAAATATAAGGAGCTATGTTGAATTCCCTCAAATTGGTCCCATTCTGTTGCAGTAATGCAACTAATTACCAAGCAAATTTGCCGTTGCGATATGTTAACATGTTTAAATAAAATCTTAACAACAATATCTTATTATGGTAATTGTATTATTAATAGCATAATGGTTAAATATATTTAAACAAAACAATTCAAAACCACTAAATGTAAACTAAAGAAATCCAATCCCATGGAGCCAGTGAAAGTTTGTATAATTTGTTTATACTTTTTCTTCCTCTAGCTTGGATGTGCCCTTAACCTAATGCCCCTGCATATATTGTCAGTGCTCTGCATGGTGCCATTTATTGTTCAATTCAGTTTAGACCCTGTTTTCAGTGCTCTGTGTTTACACAGAAATCAAGGCCTCTCTTTCTTGTCCAGACTGGTTTCTCATACTGCCTATGTGATCAGTTGACAGAGACCCTCGACATCTGCTAATGGGAGCTTAGTGATAAAAGAACAGGAGGTTTGTGCAAGTGTATCTCTAATGGTAGTGGGGTTTAAAATAAAGGGAAGGTTCTTGTGCATGAAACCTCAGTTGCTGATAGACAGGAACTTGGGTCATTTGTGCACAGCATGCCGATTCCAGATCCATATGTTATGCATAAATGTATTGACACAAGCTTGACAACTTTATCCTGTAGCTCTCTGTCATGGCCTGGGTTCACTGATGATCCAACTGACCCCTGTCTGCAAGATTATGTTTGGTTTAACAAAAGGGGTGGGTGAGCACCAAAGAAATTGAGAAAATGGAAAATATAATAATACTTCAAAGGTGAATGCAATGTAGCCTTCACCAGTTCCTGTGACCTGTTAAAGAAAGTAATACACTATAGCTCACTGATTTATCACAAGGACAAGCTATTTTTGCACTTTTTTCCTGCTGAAAATTTCAATGAAAGAAAAATATTGTGTGTTGTCATATGAAAAGCAGCTTCCTTTTGGGCAAACATGACTAAGGAACTTGTGATTGTCTTAAGCTGGTGTCTATCTGACTTTTAACTATAAGAACATTTGTTCCTTCAAAGAACAAAAGAAAGTAAAAGTCTATTTTCTACTAAAATATATATTTGTCATATTATCAAGAAATACTTTCTATACTGAGTTCAGTGATACAATTCACAAGAGGCTAGTTGGAGCATGATTACTGTTGATATAGATTAGTTGACCCTCTGGGCAAGAAAGAGTTAACCAAGCTACTGTTCACTCTTAAACTGTCAGAACCAGACAGTTTAATTATAGCACAGCAGAATGACAACTTTCTATGGAAAAAAACTTCACTTTCAAGGTGACTTTCAGGCAAGGGACCATCACAAAATGTTTCATGAAACATTTAAAGTTGCTTCAAATTAACCACAAGCAAACTTTTGGACAGACAAATTCAGTGATCAAAGTTGTCTTTAAATCGGTCTGTAAACCTAAATAAATTAGGTTTATGGTAGGGGACTTGGTTAATAAACCCCAGGGTAATAAACTCTGTCTTGTGATAGCTAATGATTAGCCTTAAACATCAGTGTTACCCTCTAATGGATTAATTGGTTCATTGCATTAGGATTTCAGAACAAAATACCAGCCACTCTGAAAATCTGCAAGAATTCGCAAACCAGATCACTGTAACTTAATAATGGTAGAGGTTAAGATTCTGAGAAATTATTGATCAAGCAGTGATCAAAGAAGCCTTTGCCATTCTACACTTTCCAACTCCTGCGGGGAGTCCCACTAGCATAATATGCTCTTTAACCATGTCCCTTTCTGTTATTTTAACCACACAAGATGCCAAATCCTAATGACTGCCTGAAAAAGAATGTATCATCAGGAGACACCAATCAGAGTGCTACTATTCCAAAGATGACAATAGATTCGCCTGAAGGTGTTTTTGTATGAAATAGAAGAGTTTGGATTTTTTTTTATTGACACTTGAAAAATGGGAAACTTTCCAAAAGACGTGGGTGGCCAGGCATACGCTGTGTCAACTAGGAAATGGTCTGCTTATTTTTGTAAAAACCTGACAAGGAAAAGACTAAATTGCACTGAATGTAGTACGTTCACGCTTTTTGGAGTGACAGTTTTTTCAGCACAGGTAATCTGCAGTCATCATACCTTGAACTGTGCCTGTGTCCCTCTTTTCAACATCTCTTTGATGTCTACTACAGCCCGTATAGAGTAGAGGCTGTAAGTCATAATGACAACACGGCAAGAAGATTTCCTGTTTTCAAGAGTGGCATTTGTAATTGGAACAGGTAATTACAGTTGAGTGGTTGAAAAGTTTGCACGGTACTGTTTGTCAAAGACATACAGTAAAGTACTATTTTGCTGATGATACAGCTTTTTCTGGGGAAATTAAAGTAGGCATAGAAAGTGCAACAAAACGTTTCTTGATGGGACAAAGAATTAGAAATTGTGTTGTTGTCGGACAGAAAACAACAGTTTGGCAAACGACTTTTTTTTTTTTTTTTACCAATGTTAACACACATACAGTATAGATAAGACTTGACAGAGAAGATTTCATGTGATTAGTAATTGAACATCTTCCTTGACAACAGTATAAATTACTTCCCTGCACTTTTGTTTTACTTGACAAATGAAGTGTTTCCTATTCTGGAGACTCTCAACTGTCTTTCTGAACTTCCCTTTAACCTAGTTCACATGCTGGTCACCTGCTGTCAAACCTCTGACCCCTGACAGAGAACCATAATCTCAGCTGGGATCTTCCGTAATCTAAAAGGGTCAGTTCACCCAAATTACAAAAAAAAAAATACTTTTTTAGTGCTTTTGTCACCACTAATGGAATTCCATTCACCTTCATTGTATATGGGTGGCAGATAGCATCAGCATAAAAGCAAAACTATCTCCATGGCTCAATACCAAGAGATGTTTTTACTGGTGAAGTGAGTATAAGCCCTAGAGACACATTTATATGTTAAAATTATGTCAAAGATGTTTTATTAAATCAATAAAAATCACATAATTATTTTTAAAATGATATGTGGCTATAGAGTCTAAGCTGGAGTCAGACTAGAAAAATACTGACTATGCATGTATGTTTTTTTCAGTCAATTTCAACTGATTTGGTTTTGCCACTTCCTAATCAAAAGCCTTTATAACACGACTGTGTAGATATTATAGAGCGATATTCCTTATAAATTTCTGTACTACCTGCAACCTGTGAAATCCTGACATGTTTGGGGGATGTACTGAAATTCCAGGCCTCCCTAGTGTCTGCCCTCACAATACACAGACAAAAGCGTGAAACCTAAGACCAGGAATGAGTCTGAGGTCTGAGACCATCAATGGGAGGGTGAATGATCGACTAATTACAACACCAACAAAACCTGCTGAACATAATCCATGAGGGGGCAAAGGTGTCCAATTATCTTCACCGCACAGCAGTATTTTATGCCATACGGACTGTCATTCAGATATTGAATTTCTAATCGAGTGCCAATTTCATCAGTGCTAAATATAGCTTTTCTGAATAATTTAAGAATACATATGCAACACAATATCCTACACAAGTGGCACTGGAAAGAGTATGCATTTAAACTAATCCTTCCCTGCAACTTTAATTTTAACAAAGTCAAAACATGCAATATATACTTACAGTTAGAAAGTCTTTATCATTCAAAAGCAGGTAATAATAATAATAATAATAATAATAATAATACATTAAATTATTAGAGGCGCCTCTCTGGGCACTCGAGGACACCGTACAACACAAAAAAAAAAAAAAAAAAAAGAATTCTACTGCAAGGCAACACTATCAAGTCATTTTGACCTGAGGTGTTACTGCTGTACAAACAAAGAGGCATGAAACTAGACACACGTTACAGCACGGGCTGACAATACAAAAACGTGAGGGTCTACTCTCTGTAGGCTGTAGAGAAGCTACAGGGCCTTTTGGCAGCCCTCCCTGCACCTTCACTGATGTTATTTCAGCAAGTCAGGGTCGTTGACCTCTCGCTGTGAGTCACAGCACAGTCACCGTCTCAGTGGTTATACAAGCATTAAGCTGCAGGGCACTCATAGCTGGGAGTTGTAAATGACACACAAATTAAGATATCCACAGACACTCATGAACGAGCCCACATATGGTTGAAATACACATGCACACACATACACACACAAACAAACTTGGGCTGCAGTCGCACAGCATGTCACAGCTGAGCAGCAGTGTAAACAGTAAGACACAAACAGACATAAACTCCAGTGAACATATGGCTGAACACACACATGCACACACAGACACACACACACACGATCCCTCTTCCTGAGCTGTAACCTTACAGCATGTCACAGTTGAGCAGCAGTGTAAACATATCTCAATTTGAATCAACCGCAGAAATAAAACCACATGAGGAAATGCCGGTAATACCATCATCTGATAATCTTCACTGTGCATCCTCTCTCTCTACATGCTGCATTTGTCTGTCTGTGTCCCTGAGCAACAGGTAGCAACAGAGTGGTGAATCACTGTACAGTAAAGGGACTATTCAATGGCTTTCAAGCTAAATTTAAAGCCTGTTGTTAATCTTGAAAACAGAGTGCACTT